GAGAGGATGGGGCCCAAAAGCTGAAGTCTCCTGAAGCCCATACTGCAGAAACAGGGACCAGGAGCCCGATCAGGTTCACAGACAAACGCAAGTAGCTTTGGAAGACCCGCGCTCCCAACTCCGATCGGAAAGGCGCCTCCGCTTTTCCCGCTCCTGTAGTCTCGCTCAGGTACGAAGTGCGCTTGATTAAGAGTCCCCCTTCAGTAACTACGTCGGAAGTGGTGCATCTGCTAAAGCCTCCGCCAAAGTGGGGAGGATGGATGCGAAGGGGATGAGACCGACGTGGCTAAGTTTGGGAGGCGGAGCTGGGGCTGGAGGGGCGGGAGAGTCCGGAGCGGAGACGCGCTGGATGGCAGGGGCAATCTGGAGCTCCCGGGTGTCACACGGTAATGCGTTCAACCCCGCTCGGGGGGTGGGAGAGCACAGGTCGGAGCCATCCCTAAGGGAGAAAACCTCTTCCCTTTCCATCCTGGGGGCTGAGGGATTGGGCCGGGTCGGGCCAGGGGCTCTCTGAAGGCGGCACGCGTGCCGGCTTGGAGTCGGCGACGATGCTGCGAGAGATGCCCTCTGCGCGGGCAAGAGTGGAAAAGAGGAGCCCAGATGACTGCTTGGTGCCTGGGGCTAAGGCAGCTATTGGGTTCCTCCGCGTTTAATCCGTTGCTCTTGTTGCACGTAACTTCGTTATCCCTGTCGTTAATTACAGCCTGATCGATTGCTTTTAAGGGCTGGGCTTTTGTGATGATGAGCCTCGGAGCGTGCAGAGTTGACTTAGTATTCTCGCTAACCCAGTGGGAAAAGGGGCTGGGACATTTGTCTTCAAACATTCCTACCTCATGATTTTATAGAAAATAGCCCAGAGACACAACTTGTCAAAGTTTTGACTAGTCACAATCATAGATTATCAGGATAGTGTGCTAAAATGCAAACTTTGCAGCCATTATTATTTATCTTCCTATTTAAAACAGGCAGTAAATAGTAGTATTCAGAACAGAAATATAAATTATACAGACAAACCTGCAACTGTTTTAAATGGAAATTATCACCACGATGTTGACTCTCACATCGGCCGTGCACAATCTTAGTTACTATCCGATTGTAATTTAATCTTTGTTGCCTTATTTCACATCAGCTGTAGTTTAAATATGCCAGCTGCTACTATTAAAATCTAGCCAACAGTTTATAAATTCAGAAGTAAATTAATGGCATGGCACATGGAAACAGCTGTACTGGGAAAACAATTAAGCAGATTTCATATTGTGAAGCTTAATGGGTTCTGATCATCTAGAATTATAGGCCTTATCAGATATAAGGGAATGAAATAGGCAACAGATTTGTGGTATCATAACCTTTTGTGGACTTAAATTTACTTCATCAGGTGCACAAAGTACTTTCTTATGTGCAAAATATACATAGGAATGGAGCAGGGGAGATAAAATAGTGATGTCAAATGTCAGTGACATGGAAACAAGTGCAGTTTAATTGCATATAACAATTTTCCCCATCCTGGTGATTTCCAGACTTGCTGAATTATACAAAATCCATAACTTCCATATAGTATGGCTAAAGGTGGATGTTATTTATAAGAGTTTTAAGTTCACTATATCTGAATGACACTAGGTAAGCACAGGAACCAATTCACAGGGGTGGAGGGAGGGGAGTTGTTGTATGATTCCAGCATGGCCAACCAAGAAAATGTAAAGATTGAAATGATAAGACATAACTTCGTCTTCTTTCACGCAGAAGCAAGTTTACTTAGCATTTATCCTGTTACCTAGAAAAGGAGAACATAATATTAAGGACAGCATTTTGATGTTTTCCTTTTTTTTTTTTTCCCAAGACTGCAGCCTGGCATCAAGGAGATGTGGAAAAAAATTGATGTAATGCTTTTTCCACTTTGCTTAAGACTAAAAATGTATTCCAATATATTCTAAGTAGCAAAAAGAAAAATCCTTGTTCACACAATCTGTTGGTAACTTAGAAAATTCCTGATCAAAGGATATGGCGAGGACCAGTACTTTAGGTGGTTTTAAAGGGGGGTTGTCTAATACATAAGTTACACAAAGGACTATCAATGGCCATTGACTGCATTGGCTGCAAAAATGTTATAACAGGCAATTCAGAAAAAGAGAATTGATATCCTTCTTGTTTAGATATTCTAGACAGTTTAGGGAAATGATCTCTCTACTGCAAGTGGATTATTGTTGGCTAATTTGAGTTCATGGTTGTACTGCCATCTGATTAGCAAATTACATTGATAATAGTGCAACTGCAATTCTGTTTGCATGATTCTGTAGAAGTGTAGCAAAACACAGAATTTATGGGATGGAGAATTCAGTTTCTGTAAAGTTTTCATTTGTTTCTTGGCCTTGTGGCTGAAGTCACATTGTTTAACCTGAAAAATATCTGCCTTGATGTAGGATCCAGTAAGATTTCCAGTGGTTGATTTCCTGAAGAACTTGTCTATGACTAGAGAACTAGAAAAAAGAAAAACAGTAAATGTCACAGAATAAATACAGTACTACAAAATAAGAAAGCTTTCCTTTTCTTGATAAGAATTTGAATTGCATGGTTATGGAATTTCTGCCAATTGTATATAGCAAATGTGCTACTTTAAGATGCAGTAATATTGTCATCTGATATTATCTTTAAGGAAAGAGTGTCAGGTAATACCAGATCTCTATGTATTTAGTAGAAGGGCTTGATCAAAAGTAATCTAAAGTCGTAATACATTTCATTTTTATTTAAGAAAGGAAGGAGGTCTGTGCACCTGTAGGATTAGAAGAAGGGCTGCGTGGGAATGGTATAATCATTAGGAAGGATGCTGAGAATGGAAAATCCTGGGGGATGTTTGGAATCTCTCAGTGGTGCAGCTACAGTGATTGGAAACCTTGTAGCTATAGCTGTTGGCAGAAGGTCAGGATTTTCAGTAGAATTGCAGGCGCTTACTGCTGAACTATAAAAAAGCTCTGGGAATGAATTTGCTCATTGCTATTTCTATTTCCGCTGTAGAAAATAAGATGACATTTTGTCTGCAAGCACTTGCATAATTACAGACAAGCCATGGGCTTCCAGAGAAGTATGCCTATAATTTCTTTCTTTTTTAAGAGTGGCTTGATGGATAGGAGATCATCTGGAAAAAATGTTAAGAGTAGTATGGACATCCTGCTCACAGCTGTGTATGTGGTAGGGGAGGAAACAAGAGGAGAAGAAATTCTGACTGTACTACCTAGCAGCTCCAAGAATGTCCCATGTGATTAATATTCTGGGCTACTTCTTCTTTTCCTCCTCCTCTTTACTGGATGAGGTACACATTTACATTTCCAGCAGTAATAGCCAGTGAGTTGATAATGCAGGAAATTGGTGGAGGCTTAGCTGAGGACAGAAAGCTGCTGTTCCAAGCAAATTAGAAGACGCTGTGCAGCTATTCTGTCTTTTCTTCCTTAATTGAGTTTCTGTGATAAGAAAAAGAAAAGTAGGAAGTGCCAGAAAAAGATGGGAAGGTTTGGAAAATGATGACATTTGGAACCCTCCCACCTCTGAATTAGATGAACAAAGCAAGCTTATTGCAAATAACAGCCTCCTATGAAAATGTCCTGCTTGGCCAGAGGGAAACAGGTTGCATGGAACACAGTGCTAAACATGTGTATTCAAAATAGGTTGAAAATAGGACACTAGGTTGAAAATGGCTGCTTTAAATCATTCAAATAGATACACAGGTACACTGATCAAAGTCATGTTATTGTTTTCTTGCCCAGTGTTGTTCCCTGGTGACATCTTGTTCTCATTGACTTGGAGAAATTATTCACACCCTTCAGTTCATTGCTTAATTACGGATAAGATGCCTTCAGGAAGACAGCTGCTCGCCAGCCAGCCATCTCAGCATTGCTCTGAGACAAATCTTTCCTTGGAACTCCAGTGTGGAATGTGCTCTGAGTCAGCCTCTGGATCATGACCTCAAATCCGTCCTTAGGTCATGAGGCCATATGTTTTTTGCATTCAAGCTTTTTCCCTGGGCAATCACAGACTGAGTTAGATACAGGGGATTTCTTTAAGCTGATTGACAGGCAGAACTTGCTCATCTGACACTTGATGATTTGTAGAGGAATATGTGAATTTTCCTCCTTTGGAAAGTATTTGAGTTGTAAGGAGCTCTAAAAATGTTTCCCTTGATGTCTCATCTTTAGGAATATGCATGTGTAATGGCCACAAACTGCATATATGTATCTAGGGTTCTAAGCTCTAATACCACACACATACTTACATACAAACAAAATAATGGTAGGAATCACGTTAAGAGAAGGTAATGGTGGGACTTTCATTAAGGGCTTAATTGTCTTCCCAACTGTAACTTGAGATGTTGTCCCATTCTGCCACCACCTCCACTGGTAGATGACAAGTATTTCTTGTACTGCTCCACATAGAAACACGTACTGCTCCTGCTTCATGATCCTAGACACTATTAGCTACAGCTTGATGGTAACACAATTTATAGAAGATGCTGTATAACTTGTGGTTGATTCAGAAATAACTTATCTTGGTAATGTTCACGCAGCAAATTTCAAGAAAGAAAAAATTAGGGCAGGACCAACCCAAGTCATTAGAACCACACACTGACTTTGATTTACAGTAATTTCAAAAACCCAAGATTAGTTCATGCTGCTGGGAAGAGATATCTGTCTCTTCTCTGCAGCCTGCTACTTGGGACAGAGAAAAAGAGGAAGGTCAACAAGAAAAAAGGAGGTTTCAGAAAGAGAACTGATACCTTCACCCGCTTCTGGCTCTGGCTAGATTCACTACTTGCCTCAGCTCTGCCTCCCCACATGGTAACTCACGAGGGAATGTATACATTAAGAACAGGAACAATAATAATAAAAATCGAACCCCCAGATGTAATACATCAGGGTACTATTATTTCCCATGTTCCCAAAGGTATCAAGGCTATTAGAATTCTTTTGGTGGTTTTAGCAAAATGTTCATTTAATGTTTTTGAGATGCCTTTAAGTAGACCACAGACTTGATTAAGATGTGCCTTGTTTAATCTTAGCATCTGGTGTAAGAGGTTATTGTCCTTGTAAATAGAAGTTCTATTTTAGCATCCCTTTGCAAATGGTCATCTTCCTGGATAAGTTTGTTATGGACATGACACCTAAAAATAGAACTTCCTTGTATTGTAAAGTGTGCGTGTGCATGAGAGAGAGAGAGAGAGAGAGGGAGAGAGGAGGAGAATGAATATTTGGGAGGAAGGATTGAATTTCTGTTTTTCTTTCTAGACAGGACCAATTGAACATGGCTTAATTCCATTTTTTAAAGGGACCATTGGGCCTTGTGAGGCCATTATAATATACCTATCAGATTATTTGGTTGCCCTGAGTGTCATCAAATCTGTAGAGATCCATACTGTTGTCAGTTTCTATAAATGCAACCACTGAAGAAATAATAATAATAATAATTAAGAATAATGGACATTGCAATACCTGGAGATAGCAGAATAGAAGAGAAAGAACTGGAGAAAAATCACAAAATACGAAGCCCTGCAAATAGAAATAGGATGACTATGGCAAAAGAAAGCAAACATAGTACCAATAGTTATAGGTGCCTTGGGTGCAATCCCAAAACATCTGGAGCACCACTTGAAGACCATCGGCATTGACAAAATCGCCCTCAGTCAATTGCAAAAGGCAGCTTTACTTGGAACAGCTTACATCCTGCTATGATACCTTTAACACCGTCAAGCAACAACATCTGCCCTTCCCATGTCCTTGGGAAGGACTCGATAGGTG